AGCCCTCAGCCATGCCCTGGGGTCTGCTGCCAGCTCAGAGTCCACCGCAGGGACGGAGGTCTGTGGTGGCAGTCACGGCTCTGCCCCCTCTATCTTCAAATAGTCCCCCCACCCACCCCCCAAACGATCAGAGGTTACCATACACTCCCCGGGGAATACACACGGTGGCTGTGAGACCTGCAACAGCGGAGATGCTCATACGATGTGGGAAAAGCCCTCTCCGCACCCCCAACCGCACAGCCTGGCCCACAAGCTCTGAGACTTGAGCTTCTCGGGGCAGGAGTGTGTTCTCTCACCCCCAAGCTCACCCCCAAGCAGCCCTGCTGCCCCGCCCCCCCGGGCCCCTGGTGGCTCCGTGAGGGTTTCCCTCAGCTGAGCTGCCAGCCAAGAGGCCGTTTTTGAGACAGTCATGCCTCCCTCGCTCTGCCCTACGTGCATGGCCTGCGGGGAGAGGCCACTGTCCCTCCGGACAACGCGGGCACTGTGGAGCTGAGAAGGAAAGCAGCTCCGACGTCCAGGAAACAGTGTCTGGCTGGACCTGAAGCACCACCCGCAGGGAACTCCCTGTAAGAAACGACCCCTCGGTTCTCCGGCAGGAAACGCGTGCCCTAGATTTACCAGAAATTCAAATACGACACAAGAAGTGGCTTTTTAGGGGCCTGAATTTTACATTTCTTCCCAAGTAATTTAATTGAAAGTGACTGCTTTTGTGAGACCGCACAGGTCGGAAGAAAACGCTGTGCTGGGATCTGAGTTCTGGTTCAGAAAAGCCGGTGTGGTGCCCATGGCGAGAGCGGCCCCTTTCCCACGGGAGGAGCCGAACCAAACCCCAAGGCGGGCACGAGCCTGGGGCCTCCGCAGGCCAGACGGCGCCCAGCCGCCCGGACTCCGTTCTCTCGCCAAGCCGGTGGCCAACCTGTCCATGAACGGGGCTTCCTGAAGCTGTTTTTTATAAAAAATATTTGTATAGTGCAGTGACTATAACTAGGAAACGAACAAAAGCCCTTGGTTAAAGGGAAAAAGAAAAACTGCCAAGACCTTAAAACTCTGCACTGTTCCAACCTGGAGCGATGAAACCCCAGACCTGCCGAGACGGGAGCCGCAGGCCGCTCCGCTGGTTCTGGGCGGGCTTTGCTCCGGGCCTAACTGTGTCTGAGGCATCTTAGCAACAAATCGCAAGCAGAGAGGCTGTGAAAGAGAAGCCGGGGCGTGGGGAAGGGCGAGGGTCCCCTCACACTCCTGCCCGGCGGGTCCGTGAGAAGGGCGGCTTGGGGACGCAGGCGGTTTGCTGCTGGTCTAACTCTTGGGGTACAGAGACTGAAGGTCCGTCCTCATAAACAGACAGGCGGGCTCTGGCACTCTCCGCGGTGTCACCAGGAGAGACAGCTGGACTAGGGTGCGTCCTTGAGCAACAAGGATGTCTAGATTTGTTTCGTAAATTTGCTCATGGTGATTCCGTGTTGGGATTACTCTTAAAATGCATGTTTCTTGGGAGGTTAACATGATGTCATCCCAGGTGAGTCAGGGCACGAGACCCAGATCTGCGCTGCGCGGGCCACCGCCTTCTTCTGTAAGCTCCCGCGCCTTCCTCATCCCACCCGAGGCTGGCGGAGGGCACTGGGCTGGACCGGTGAAGCCTGAAGCGAGGTGCCCGTCCGGTGTCTGCCGGCGAGGGGGTGATCGATCTTCTAGAAAAAAGCACGCAGAACCCTTCCGATATTGACACCCACTGGCTGTCACGTGGGGGTGATTGCCAGGCCGGCCTCCTGGGTGCCACCTCCCCATGCGCCTCAGTGGCTGCCAAGCAAATAAGTCACAGGCCTCGGGGACAGAGCCTTCAGTGTTCGGTGGTCACAGAAGCGCGTGACACCTTCTGTCATGCTATGTGACCGTGGGGACGATGCCTGTCCGGCACAGCCTGTGCTGGGTGGTCAGTCTCAGAGGAGGGACAAAAGGGGAGGCTTTCTCTCAGGAACCTTCAGAAAGAGGCCTTTTAACAGGAAGTAGATTGAGAGACAGGGAAATACAGAGTGGGCCATGCAGCAGCAACTCGTGCCCACGTCGGTAAGAAGCGCGCCTGTGGGCGTTAGGATGCGTCATAAGTGAGGAGCACAAAGGTATTTAAAAATGCCAGCATTGCCCGGCACAGACAGCACGTGGCTCTTCAGACACATGTTCACGATGCACCATGAACCCTGGGCTGCCTCCTCTGCAAACAGCCAGGCTTGTCGGGGCCATGGTCAGTGGCCAGCTTTGGGCGGGGTTTGGCTGCCACCAGGTCACCTGGGAACCAAGGCTGTTCTCAAAGCCTCACCAGGGACGAACTCTGCAACTTACCCCTGAGCCCCCACCTGAGCTGGGAAAGCGCTGCCATTCTTCCAAAACAGACGCTGACAGAAGAATACAAAACAAGGAAGGTGATCGTAAATCAAATCACAGAAGAGGTGACCCCCAACGGCCCCTTTGTAAAAAATCAGGTTTTGTTCTCATCATACATGTCCAAGGAAGGCTCGAGTGTGGAGAATTCACTTTCATACACCAGGCTCCGAGGGGACAGAGAGCTGCGCTGAAAGAAGTGACCACCTGGAGAGGGGACAAGAAGGACAGGTCACTAGGTCATCGGGTCTCTACTCCCCACACTTCCCACGTAGCTTGGAGGAAAGAAGGTGAATTATCTTTAAAGCATCACATTGTCTCAAATATGTGTCTATATTTTGGGTTCTTGTCATGAGAAAAGTGCAAAGAACTCAGGCGCCCCTCAATTTAAGCCGCTTTAAGCAGGCCAATTCCCACGTTTGGGTCCCCAAGAGATGACCCACTGGAGCTCCTTGGAGCAAAAGCTGCCTGGTGCGCTCACACAGCCTCCACTCGCAAACCTGAAGACTCTGACCGAGGGCCCATGATCACATGGGAAGTCCTGTGTCTCCTGTCTGAGCCCGGGGTCGGGCACACAGAGCCGCTCCAACACAGGGCAGACGGAGGTTGTGACTTTGAGGCTCTGGCAGTGCCCTACAAGTTCTTATTTATATTAAAGTTATACCTGAACATGGTTCAGACAGTTCCTCCCACATGTGCTAAGGCCAGTAATCTGCAACCCCCCTCCTCAGAGACAGCCACTTGGAGCCGATTCGTGGCATACTTCCCCCCATGTCCCTAGATAGCATGTTTCCAGCCTTAGAC